CCCCAAAACCCCAAAACCCCAAAACCCCAAGATATCAAATCTCAAAAGATTTAAAATAATTTAATTCTTAAATGGAGAAAAAAGATTTTTTTGCAAAGGCATCAGAAATTGTAGGTGTAGGTTATGGAAAATTATCGGAGTAGTCTGTAAATTCTTCTGAAAATTAAATTATGGACCTTCTAAATCACCGAGCTATACCCTAAGAACCAATGGAGGAACTTACTATCTAGTCTCTAATGAATAGAATTGCTTTAATGGATTCTAATAATTACTATGGGAATACAGGTGTAGGGGAACGCGAGGGACGAATATTTAGTCCAATAGTTAGATAAAAGAATTTCGATCTTGGTCATGGCATTGGTAGATCTGGTGATGTAAATGCATTATAGCCTAAAGCCATAGGGTCATCTTTAATAGTTAAGCTGACTAAAAATATGACTATCAATGCAATGAATAAAATACTAGGGTACACATCAATTAAAGATGCATTAATTTTGCCTTTTGCTACTGGAATGTCATTGACTGTAACCTTATTGACTATAAAAAGTCTTAAACCTTAGGCACAGTATGTGATTTTTCCAAGAATAGATTAAAAAACTTGCTTGAAATGTATTTATACTGCCAATCTAGTACCCATTATTGTTGAACCAAAATTGGAAGGTGAAGAATTAAGAACAAACTTAGAAGAGATCAAGAGAATTATGGAAGCAGAAGAATATAAGGATAAGATATTATGTGTTTAAACTACAACAAGCTGTTTTGCACCAAGAGCTTATGATTCTATAGCAGAAGTAGCTGAAATCTGTAGGAAATATTAGATTCATCATGTAATAAATAATGCTTATGGGTTACAGTGTACAAGAGTTGCAAATGACGTATGCTCTGCAATACAAAAAGGGAGAGTTGATGCTCTTATTTCATCAACCGATAAAAACTTCATGGTTCCTGTTGGCGGTAGTATTATATACTCTCCGAAGAAAAAAGATCTCATAGACAAAATAAATAAATTTTATCCAGGTCGAGCATCTGGAGGCCCTATAGTTGATTTGTTTATAACATATCTTCAAATGGGTGCAAAGACAATGAAATAACTTATCAAATAAAGAAAAGAAAATTTTGAATATTTGAAGACTAAGCTCAATACTATTCTACTAAAATATAACGAAAGAATCCTTGAAACTAAGAACAACAAGATTTCAATGGCTGTTACATTAATAAACTTGAATGAGAAAGTATTTAAGCCAAATAACATTAATGCCACATTTTTTGGAAGTTACCTATTTTCTAGAAGAGTATCTGGAGTACGAGTAGTAAATTCATCAAATGGTAAAAGAAGCTAGCCAATAGGCGAGAACACCTTTTTAAATTATGGAAGTCATAGTGAGAATTATCCATTCCTCCCATACTTTACCTGTGCATCTGCTATTGGTTAAAAAAAGGAAGAGATTGATGTTTTTGTTATCAGGCTTTAAGATGCTTTTGAAAATTTCTTAAAAAATGATCCATAAATGATTATTGTCTAGGATACTTTACTGCAAAGATTGAATGTTTAAGATGAAGAATAATCTGCTAATTAGGAAGAAGAGAAATAATAATGAATTGATAAAATACATTCTTCAAATTAATACAAATTATGTAAGCGTGGGGTTTTGGGGTTTTGGGGTTTTGGGGTTTTTTAGAGTTTGCAGTGGCGGAGAGTT